CGGCATCAGGGCGATCAGCTGATCTCTGGAGTAAACAGTCCGTGCGTGTAGGAGATGTGCCGCGGTCCCGTTCCTTGATAAAAGTAACAGTTCCACGGCCACCAGAAGAACAAAAACTCTCTCAATCCACATGTTGAGTAAGAGATAGAAAACGGAGGAAAATACAAGTCAGAAAAAAAAGAATACTTAAGAAAAAAGAGCTAAACTAAGAGAAAAGCAGGAGCAACTGTAACAGGCTGCACGCTGGTTGGCGCATGCACACTTTAAAGGTGGAAATGATTTTCTTAAATCGTTTACCTTGATCTCATTTTCTTCATTTTTATACATCATGAAAACCTGACGTGTTGAATTTTTATATGTGCTGTGTTCGTAAAAAATTAAATATTGGAGAAATTGAACAAGAGATTAAACAGAAAATATGTTTTAGTGGAACTCGCGATTACTCAGTATCAAAGAACAGAATGTAATGCAAAAGAAAATTGTTTCAAATTGAATTTGTGTCAAATGTAATTTTTGTTCTGGCGTTTTCAGTAGAGTTCAGTAGCGGCATGCTGCATCAATAACACGATGGGTTTCCTTCATGTCCACAATGCTTGAGCCGTTTTAATTTAACCTCGAGGGTGAAACAGTGTGGCGTTGGATCCATGTTGCAAACCCTGAGGCACTCTTGAGAACCCATAGATTATCTATCACACTCACACAATATCATCCCACACTCACCTGACTGTAAAGATGAAGACATTTGGGTTGGCAAAATGTAACAGTGAGCATCTCCAAGCTCTGACTACCAGTCAACCTTCTTCTTTAGTTAAGATGCACCTCCCATCTCCTCTTACTCCTGTAGGCGTTGCTAAAATGTGAAGGCACTGTGCAACTTGGGACATTGCTTGTCCCAACCTTTTATCAAGCATTTTTTCTTCCATCTTGCTCTTGCATTCATATATTGTCGGGGCAGTAATCTATTAAGTTTTAACATTTTTCACCAGTAAAGGAAATGTCAGTGGGGAATGGGGATAGAAGAGTTGACAGAGTAAGTGGACGGAGGAGGAAAATCAAAGAAACTGAAGACAAGAAAGGGACACTCGGTTAAAGGGGAGATATAGGCATGTGGTGCTGATAGAAAAAGACAGACTCATTCTCCCTGGGAGGCTGTGTTTGGTGTGAAGGCTGAAGTTGTTATAAAGGTGTCAGGATTGGGTGCCCCTCACACCTGAATAGAGTGAAGAATCTATGTTCCCAACAAGATATCTAAGCCACTCACAATCAAGTCATTCCTCCCAAGGAAAGGAAGCCAGACGGTAGTAAATCCATCGTGCCAGCACCTCTGTGATGGATTAGGCTTTTATAATTTCCAGATTACTTACTGATACATTTCCTTTCCATCCGCCCACCAGCGCTTACATCAACAAGGCCAGTGACTCATCACAGCAGGTGACGCTCATCGATTCGCTCCACTCCCCGGAGGGCCTTGCTGTCGACTGGGTCCACAAGAACATCTACTGGACGGACTCAGGCAATAAGAGCATATCTGTCGCTACGGGAGATGGCAGGAAAAGAAAAATGCTCATAACCACCGAGCTGAACGAGCCACGAGCCATCGCTGTGGATCCGCACCAAGGGTGAGTTGGGTTAGTTTTAGGGTAAAAGGATTTTGAAAAGATGCACAAAGGAGCAAAAGATTGCAAAGGAGTTGAGCAAAAAGGCAGGAAGGAGGGAGGGCGAGTAAGAGGTCCTACTGTCATTGTGTGTGTGTGTGTCTGTAAAAGCCAGTGTTGTTATAGTAGAAAGAGATTGGGTGTAGAAGTTGGCCTAAAGTCAGTAAAGGCTATTTGTAGCACTGAGCCCATCTGTTAGATTAAGCAGTTTAACAGTTTTCTTGAGATGGGATGTAACACTTTGTCTTCCCTTTCTAACTCTTTCCATTTGTCTCGGGTGCCTTGAGCTCCCCAAAGACGTCTTTTCACAGCTCTACAAAGCTAGACTAGCATGAAATACATGCAAATGAAGCCACAATTTCACAGTTTTATCATGGACACACATATTCAGATAAGGTCCAAGTTTCCAGTACCTGCTGTTTTGCACAGTGCTTTCCCTTTTATGTTTTCAATGCCTGTCTTACTAATAATACAGTCATTTTGCAAAGAAAATGAGAGAAGATGTCTGTGGAACATCGTGTGACGGAGTACAGTTGATTTTGTCAGTTAAGAGTTTTTCAGAACAATTGACATTGCATATTAACCTCTCTTCTCTGGTCCTAGCAAAGTTACTCCTTTCATTTCTGACACTGAACTGGCCGTGCCTTAATGATACAACATGTATATAAAGATGAAATTGGCCACAATGGCATCTCTTATTGGTTTTGGACTGTATTTGGGTGATAAGCTGTATGTTAAGTTAGCAGCTAATGCTAGCTAGACACACAGATAAGCTGCTAGTTATTAAGTAACAGACAAATAAAATACTAACTTTCACTCACCAAAAGTAGAGCACACAGGAAGCCATATTATTTGTTAGATGATTGTATTAAAAGTTCAAAAGGTCACAAACGCAGAAACAAAAAGGTCCAGTTCGATGACTTGAAGTAGCGGAAGTTGAAGCCTTGGTGCTACAACCGCCTGCATCCAAGTGTCCGTCACGCTCCACAGCACTAATAATTCACAACTTTAAGTATTAATACTTTAAGCCCCTATAAAGGGATGAAATGTAAAGATGTCACAAAGGTGGAAAATTACTTTTTATACCAAGCTAGAAACTTTTTTCACCCCTGCTCTAAAGCTAGGCACTCAGCCACAGATAGCCACACATTGGTTTCTGAAGTGCCATATTGTACTGAAGCTTTTGCCATCACCAGCTTGGTTGGCAAAAAACCCGAGTTGACAAGAAGTCAAGTGTGAAACCGCACAATCATTGGCTAATAACTTCTGATGGACAGCTATTAGCCATCAAGTGTGCGGTTTTTATATCATTTTGTAACATGGTTACAAAATATTTCAGTTGATATTTTATTCAGTATGACCCAAAACAAATGAGTAAAATCAGAAAGCCATTTCTCGTAGCCTTCTGTAAGACTTCAGGTCTCTTTTACAACCACAGCTATCACCATCTGGTGGCCCTCAGAGAGAATGCAGGCAGGTCACGTTGGCTTGATTTCTCAGCCTCCGAGGTTGCTGCTTCAATTGAATCTAACTTGTGTATCTTCCCGCAGGTTTATGTACTGGTCAGACTGGGGAGGTCAGGCCAAAATTGAGAAGGCTGGGATGAATGGAGTGGATAGACAAATTTTGGTGTCTGAACACATTGAATGGCCCAATGGAATAACTCTAGGTAAGGAAAAAAACATGTAGCTTTGAACATTCAAAGCCCACGGAAGAAGGATGAAAAGCTAGAAGATGATGCCCAGATAGAAAAATCAATCAGCTCTGACAGCAGTTTTGTTTAAAAAAAAAAAAAAAGGTTATTATGCTGACATTGCTTTTAGAGAGAGAGATAAAAAAGTGTCTCGAGTGAATTCAACACAAAGAAAAAAAACAACACATGGAGGAAAGCCAGAGAGAGACAAACAGCACAAGTTGAGAGAAGAAAATAGTCTATGGGTGCTGAAACCCAAGTAGCTCTTATTGTTATATACCTCAGTTTGTGTCTGGCTCTCATCAATCAAGCCAGTGAGTATGAGGCTCCGAATTAATAAGCCAGACGCTCTGTGCTGTCGATACCTCCCCTCATCCCTTTCAACTCCCTCCGAAGCACCAGCCAATTCCTCTCAGCTGCCCTTGCCTGAGGAGAAATAGAAGCACACAGTCGCCACACTCTGTGGAATTGAGGTGTCGCCGCATCTGTATGAAAACAAATTATTTTTTGGAATAAGGCGAATGAGAGGCTTGGCGCCAGGCGGCTGTGGGAGAAAGGGTGAATTGTGTTCCCCTGGTCATTGATTTCATAGAGACCACCGAACAGTGCAGGTGATTGAGTCAGGAGAGGTGAATGGGGACCGAGAATCGTGTTAATTCTCTTCCTCCTTCAGTTTACTTTGGTGCTTTTATTGGATGCTTTTTTTTCATATACTTCCAGTGTTTTACCAATTTCGAATTGCTTATTGCACACAAAAGCTTAATTCTTTATCAATTACTAATTAAATTCTTGCTTTCTGTTTTTTAAATGTTCTTCTTAAAAGCATAATCTTAGAGTCTGGTGAAAAAAAGAGTAATACAGGGATTATTTCCTTTGCTGTTTAAATTCAATGTGGTGTTTCGATTTCAAAGTAAACACCTCAACACTTTGCCGCTCGTAGCAAGGACACAACAATGATTTGGGCCTAATATAAATAATATAGCAGTGGCTGAAATGTGGAGTTATTTGAGATTTGCGAAACAGCAAAGTTTGTCTTTAAAATAGGTCCAGCAAGACTAATGAATCTGTTCAAGGGCACATATATTTTCTCCAGCAAAGAAGTCAAGCGGCAATATTACAATCACATCTGTGTTTTCTTAGTACGGGGCTGAGGTCGTCATGTCAAAGAAGATTGATTGTGTAGCTACTGGGCCATTACATCCATATACCCCTCACCCTGGGCCGTTTCACTCTGAGTGACCTCTCTCTCTCCATTCACCTTCTCCCCTACCCCCTCTTGATTTTGTTCTCTCTCGCTCTCCCCCTTCCCTGCATGTTCTCAGACTTGTCCAACAGACGACTTTACTGGGTGGACTCCAAGCTGCACCTGCTGTCCAGCGTGGATTTCAATGGTGACAACCGCAAAGTGCTGCTCTCCTCGCATCACCACCTGGGCCATCCCTTTGCCCTCACTGTCTTTGAGGTATAGCAGTTGAGAATTGAGATTCAAATGCAAAGAATCAGACCAGGCGGAAATGCCAGAGCTCTGGTCTGGCGCATACAGCTGTTTCTGTAATATGCATTTTTGAAAGTGTGCAGTGTTTTGTTTCGTTTCCAACCTTTTGGGCAAATTTTAGTTTATGCTAATGTAATAATTCATCATTAGACTATATCATCATACAGGGATACATTTTCTGCTCTAGCTGTATACCTATTGAAATATATGCTGAACAGTTTATTAGGTACACCTTGCCACTAAGGGTTGGAGCTGGAAACATTCCTACGATTTTGGTCCATATTGGCATGAAGGCATCAAACAGTTGGATGTGAATCTTTTGTGCTACCACATCCCAAAGGTCCTTTTTTGGTCTGGTGACCGTGGAAGCCATTTTTGTATGGTGAACTCCCTGTCATGTTCAAGAAACCAGTTTGAGATTATTTGAGTGGCATGGTATGGAGAATTATGCTGCTGGAAGCAGCCATCAGAAGATGAGTACACTGTGGTCGTAAAGGGATGGATATGGTCACCAACAATACTCATAAGTTAGTAGAGGGTAGGGACCAACGAATGCCAAGAACTTTCCCCTGCACTATTTCATCACCACCAGACCGAACTGTTGATATAAGGCAGGATGGATTCTTGCTTTCATTTTATTTATGCCAAATTCTGACTTTACAATCCGAATGTAGCAGCAGAAACTAAGACTCATCAGATCGGGGATCATTATTCTAATCTTGTGTTGTCCAGTTTTGGTGAGCCTGTGTATGCTGTAGCCTCAGTTTCCTGTTCTTAGCTGACAGTAAAATATGTTCATGCGTAGGGTTTCTGTCTTGGTTAATGTCCTTGGTTAGATTAAATTTCTCAGTGTATGTCTTATATAATTTTGGTTTAGGGTTGGGGTTAATTTGAAATCAGTTTGCTTAAAGTTTCTTAAATAAATGTGAAGAATGCAGAACTCTTTTTAAGTATATATGGACATACACAGCATGCTTTTTCTTTATTTCCTAATAGAGTTAGTGGGAGGCTTTACCTGGAAGGTAAACAAGATCCAGAAGTTCTTATTTCACTCCCAAAATAAATGTAAACACACACACACACCAAAGGGGTCTCAGATCAGTTATCGCTGCCTTGTAAGTGACAATCATATCTTGTCTGTTGATTCCCAACATGGTTGCGTATTTCTAGACTTGCAGTGAGCAAAATTTTAGCAGTGGGTTTTTAAGTATACTGTTTTGATGCCATTTATTACTATGCTTGTTCATCGTCATAAATGGAGGACTGACACACATTTTCAAAGTGTACTAGCGGTAAAAGACGTGCGAGAACTAGAGGGGGAGAGATGAGTCAGTGCAGGGACATGGCTGACTGACTGAAAAGAAATGGAGATGTTATAGAAGTACAGAAGCAGGATAAATCCAGAGAAGGAATTGTTGTTTGTTTGCTGACGAGTGTAGAGTCACAATAGAGTGCATCAATCAATAAAACTAATTTGGGTGTATTTATTGAGGTGGGAGTGAATCGGTACGTTAGGGCCCATCAAGCATAGATGATGGTGTGGAAGGTGGAAAACAACTGGAGGAGGGAGGAGAGAGCAAGGATGAAGGTGGGGAAAGTGGTAGGTGAAAATGTGATCAGTAAGTAGTGTTTGCTCCATTCCCCTCTTTGCTGCACACACTGTGTGTGATGATGGGAAAGCAAAGGGAAGAAGGGACATCCATCATGCCCAGCTGAGAGCGCGTGAGTGTGGGCGCGTCTGTGTGTTTGCGTGCAAAAGAGAGAAAGAAAACCGATGTTTCGAGCAGCAGTGAAAGTTCACCCCAGGAGATTAATAGCTCTCGGCTCTTCTGGTCTTTCTTCTGCTCTGGTTATGATATAGACCAAATTAAAAACCTTTAGCAGCACAGGAGGATGTCACGGTGCCTACAGACCGATAATGGGAAGTTTGTTACTTTTAGAATTGCATCGTTCAAATTTTGAACTAAAACACTGAACGTTTTTGATCATTCTGGCTTTAAGGAAATGCTCTAACAAGTAAGGCACCAGCTGTGATACTTCATAAAGATAGGATAGGATAAAAGAGCTACTGTTCTAGGCTACTGAACAGAAACAGAAACACGCTTGCAGCATCAGTAAGGAGGGACAGGATGGGGCATACTCCCAATAACAGAAGGCACAGTGCCCGTCCTACAGATGTGATACAAGGTAAGCCTGCAGCATAGACCTGACCAGGACAAGCACACTTACTGCACAGTGCAGAAAATATGGAATGCAGTGTACTGATATGCACTGATATAATTCATTTTAATGGAGAGAGACAGAATAAAGTCCTATAGAAAAGTTCCCAAGAAGCCTAAAGACTTTAGAGAGTTTCTGGCCAAAATCCCTCCTGAGATGTGTGCAAACCAACTCCATGAAACAACAAGACAGGAACTAAGTCATGTTTTGCTTGGGGATCAAATACTCAATTACATACTAATCAGTTTAGAACTTTTATGTGATGTGTTTTTTCTGTATTTTTGGTTGATGTTACGTCGCTCTCTTTAAAATGAATCTACCATTTGTAGCCATTTGTAGATGGATAGCAAAGGCAAGTCTATACCCAAGTTTACACTGAATGAACAGACTCCTAGTGTGAAGATGCTTTGCAGGGACAACATTTTCTCCAGCCGAAACATAGCAATTTCAAACACAAGTTTTTATAGAATGAAAAAAGTGAAAGCTGTGGCCTGTGTGTCCTGCCTCAAATTCAGCAGAACAGTTGGAGTATTTTAAGGTGGACTGTGGAGCAAGAAAAACAACACCTCCAGCAAAGAGCACCTGCAAAGAATCATCTGTGTCGAGAATGGCAGAACACATTTCCACAGAGTCACTCATGCAAAATATTTAAAACTGGTGTCATCCATGCCCAGGAAGTTTGAGTTTTATTAAACGTAACAGAAGAGAGAGTAAAAAATATTACAGCATGCACGAGTTGCACGGTGTTGCTGTGGTAGGTCTGTCGCCTCGCTTTAGTTGGTCTTGGGTTTAAATCTAGGCTGAGGCCTTTCTGTGTGGAATTTGCACGATCTACCTGTGGCTGTGTCGATTCCCTCCACATACTCCAGCTTCCTCCCACAGTTCAGTCATGTATGGGGTTGAGTGAAGCTTAGGTTGGTGATTTTAATTGGTTGTAGGTGTGAATGTGAGCACGAATGGTTCTCTGCCCATAGTGTCTGTCCCTGAGTGGAAGAAAGTGGACTGGTGAATCAAATATTGGAGCCACGCTAACAAAGAGTGCACTTGTGTTGCAGTTGATTCTTAAATAGTATAAATTAAGCAAACGTTAGTTTAACTCTTCCTATTCTTTAGTTAAAAACAAAGTAACTGTAAAATGTTCACATTTAGCTCATACACTGTTCGGTTAGTTTCAGTTAAGACAAATCCACAATAATAAGACGTGGGGGATCACATGTAAAACTTTGTGAAAACTGTAGAAACTTATTGTGAGCGGGAATTGTTGTGGGGACTGTGTAACCCCAAATCAGTCATCCTCACATGTTTTCTCGCATGCAGAGAAAATGTTTCTGACATTTAGCCACATTTGATTATGCACAAGCATAACAAAAACCACAAGCCCACAGCTATTAAGCATCCATTTCTTTCACATGCACATCCATATAGCTGCTCTTCTGAGCATGTGAGATATGAGTTGTCAACTCATGTGCGGCGTACAGTTTATTCCAGCTCCTCATATTCCTGAGCGATACAGTGAACGCTACAAGTCATTACACTCGAGTGTGTCATCTGCAGACTTCGTTTTGATGCTGATGCGCGAACGGGTTTTCTCAACACTACAGAGAAAGATGCGGGGCCTCTGTATCAAACCCTGAACAGACACACGCATGTAAACTCTACCAGTTAGTGCCGACCGCCTGCCTACATGCCAAGCCCCGAGGAGATGTAGATCGCAGAAGCTTGCAGAGAGTAATGTTGTCTCTTTTTCAGCTCTTGACAGGAAGGAGATAGAAGAGAAGGTGGGATGGGATTGAGAAGAGAAGTGGTGGTTGAAAGAAATAAAAACTGGAGTAATATGTAAAGATTTAAATTTTAAAGGCTCTATGTGAAAACAGGGGCAGTCAAATGACATGTGATCAAAGCTTTATTTTCTAAAAACCTGACAAAGACGTCCGTCAGGCCCTCTCTGTCCACATCTACAGCCCAAATAAGAAAACTAGTCAGCTCACATAACTAGAGACGCGTTGTAACGTGCACATGAGAGAAAATTCTCTTTTGCAGCTTATTGGAGATTAAATGATTTACCGAAAAAGCCCCCACATTATTTTTTCAGAACTTGGCTAATTATGCCAAAGAATGCAGATCAAACCCATAAAAAAAAAATCAAATCAAATCCTCAACAGGCGAGTGGGTTGGCTTTGTTTGAGCTTTCATTTGTAGTTTTCATGCATAACATCCAGGTATCCAGTAGGCACCTGAAGCTCATCAGACAGATGTGTCAGACAGCCCCGACGCATATTCTTCTGGGATAGAATCGCTGCAAAATCATAAAGGGCTGCTTTCCCTCGACTCAAAAATGGCTCCATATAAATTTAGACGTGCTCTCACTCCCCCCGAGTTGCAGCTCCATCTGATGTGACGTGGCGCCATGTGTTCATGGGAGCAAGTCTGCGTGCGCTTTGTGTATAACTTCTGGCCTATCCTTCAAAACATAAAAGATGTACCTTGATCCTACAATTGAAGAGCACTGCCCTTCTCAGGTTTTGTGCTGCTGTTTGAAGCTTCAAGGTCACAAGCGGCGCGCGGAAAGATTGACAGTGGAGAAAGTAAAAAGGGGAAAACAATGTCAGAGACTGACTGCTGAGGTGGAAATCAAGACAGAGAGCGAGAGAAGCAAAAAGAAGAGATGGAATAATAGATTTGAGTAGTGTTTTATCAGCGTGGCTGATATTTGTCTTTCATTGTTTCAGAACTACTGTCATATGAGTAAAGGTTATCAGAACCTAAGTGAGGGAGAGATTGAGTGATAGAGAGCTCACTGAAAGATGGGGGGGGAAGGTGAGAGAGAGGTCAAGTCCACTGATAATACGGCACAAAAAGCATGGATGGCTGCTGTGACTAAGCCCCACACACGGACACACACATACCCGCACACCATACAAGTCTTGCAGGTCTTTGCCTTTAAAAAGATGATAAAAATACATCCTCCCTGTAACGACGAAAAAACCTGCAGACACTCTTCCTGATTGGTCTCTCCGTCTCACACTCACCTCCTAAATCGTCTCTTCGTTGTTTTATCGAGCTTTCCATGATATCAGCCTGTCTGTGTTTTCTCGTGCAGTCATTTGCTCTATTTTTCTGTTTTTTCTTAATTGATGTGTGCTTGCAAAGACAAAGCCGTCTGGGGTTGCTGTGGAAACCAAGTGCCGTGAGCACTTGTGCGGTTATATCGTGTAGTATCATTAAAGAGAATAATGAGCAGGTGTGAAAGAGCGGAAGGGAAATTGAGAAGGAAGCTGAGCTAGGACTACAAAGACACCGTACGCTCCGCCAAAGCAGTCACTACCTTCTGCTTTGGCACAAAGCTTAAACAGAGAGTCAAAGGTACAGACGTTTTTCCAATAAAACACCGGGGCTGTTTTTTTCTTATCAAGCATGCAACTTCCTTACAGACTTAAAACGGTGTTTTTACTGTTTTTTGGGGTTTTTTTTTAAGTAAACACTGCTCCCCTTTTCACCCACCGAGCACAGAGTAGGTGGCTTATTTTAACTAAACCGTCTCCAAGAGATGCCACGCCTCCACTGTGTCCTTGCATTTGTTAAGTAGCTGTTATAATTAGGCTGGTTAAAAATAGAAATTAGCAAAGAGTGCCACCTGGGCTTTCTTCTCTGGCAAATTGGAGTAATGTGACTGTGTTTTCAAATTTATTTGGGGCTGATTATTTTTACCAGAGAAGAGAGAGACTGGCTATAATCTTAAATACCTGGAGTGCTGGAGGGTAAAGATGTTAGAGTGGGGGCTAAATGGCATGTTTTGGGGTTTTGTTTTTTTTTTGTTTTTTTTATTGCGTTTTTGAAAAATTAACCAGTTACCTTGGATATAAAACACCTCTCTATTCAAGTAAACCACAACACATCCTCAAATGTAATCGTAAATTTAATCAAATAGCCATTGTTGGGATGAGGACATTTCTTTGCAGCAGACTGGCTTTTTTTTTCTTCCCTTTTTTTTTTTTTTTAACACATTAACGGTGACTACAATGAATATCAGTGCACAGCTTCTAAGCAGAGACAAATGGTGTTTATGAAAAGCCATTTATTCTAAAGTTGTATGCAGATTATGCTCATTTGCAGCATGGTTGCTCCATAGTTGAGGTCTCACGGTTCTGAATTACAGAATCACTGGACTCTGAAAATGATAAGCAACAACAGCTTTATAAAACCCTAGAATGACGCCCTCTTTAGAGAAAACATTTTTGTAAGTGTTCTGTTACTGAAATATGAAATATATATCGTCATCACTGCCATTCGATTAGGAAAGTGTCCGATCTCAAGTGGTACAGAGCAAGCAGATCTGGATCTGCAACATGCATGTGGCTTTATAACAGTATCTGTGGCATTAGCTGAGATATCTTTAATTTATTCTTCTTCTTTTTTTTAATATGTTGATCGTTAATCATCAAGGCTGGTTTAGGGCTTTTTATTTATTTGTGTATTTCTCAAGCTGACTTTCCTTTATTTTAACCCAGGATCGCGTGTATTGGACAGACTTGGAAGATGAAGCGATATACAGCGCCAACCGACTGACGGGACACGATGTGGCCAAGGTCGCAGAGGACCTTAACAACCCCCTGGACCTGGTGGTGTTTCATGAACAGAGGCAGCCCAAGGGTAAGAAGAAGAAACGCATAGAAGCTTAGCACAGGTGATCTAAGTGGGGCTGTCCCAGATGACCTCAAATAAGTCAAAATGTCCGTTTCGTTTTCAGTCTGTCATACTGCCCAGTCTCTGTCTAGGTGCTGTTTGCCACTCGTAAGCGTGCAGGATCTTGTTCGGTATAATGAGCAGGATTTTGGGGCGTATGTGCGCACAGGATACACAAAATCTAACCTCCTTCCTGAGTACAAAGCATTGCATTATCAGCACATAGACACGAGGATCCACTTAGTGAAACGGTCTGAAACAATAAACAGATAATCTGATGAGTGTGATTAGACCGGTGGATGTGACGGGCACGTCAAAACGATGTGTTTGTCTTTTTTTTTTTTTTTGCACTCTCGATGTGTGTGACTGCACGCACGCGTGTGTGCCTGTCAACACCTCTGCTT